CACAAAATATCAGAACTGGAAATGAATTGATGGGCCCCCTGGAAGCACTCCCTGAAGGCCAGCCCCCCGAAACCGTCGGCATTACTGACTATCCCGCACCAGTGGGTTTCAGCGTTGGTAACTGGTTTGGAAGGCGAGTGCCGCCCCGCCCCAGGGCTGATCACAGCAGCTCAGCCTAGTAGTTTCCCTCAGCTCCCTGACACTTCTTCTGGATATTTAAAAACATATCCTTAGGGATTCATTATAGAATTACCAGTCTCCTAGTTGTTATGGCGCCGACTTGTTTTTTAATAGCCATTAATTTACTTAGATATTCAATGATAAGGACTTAATTTGGGTTTAATGAGGCCTTGGTCAGCAGAGACAAGTCCTTGGTCAAAAAATGTTGAAGGTGAAAACTTGAATCCAAAAGTTGGATAAATGGAGTTATTGGATAAACATATTCCCCACAAATGCAGACTCTTTCCTTCCCTGCACTCTGAAGACAGCAGACCATGCATCACAGGCGGACGCGGGCTTACCAGGAAAGCTGGTTGTAGCAGAAGGAATTCAAATACTGGAATCAGCACTTTCCCTGGATTGGACTTGAATTTTTTATTAATATTATGCTTGGGCCCCAAGAAGATGCATTCAGCCGGGCTGACTTATGGCACTAAATGACTAGTTAACCATACATACTAATCACATAAATATGGTTTATGGAATGATACAAAATGGCTTATGAAATCACTTTTAAACCATCTTTTCAACAGTAATTAGACCAGTTCTGAAATACCTTAAGCCAAGCAATATTGGCAAGAATTGGCCGAAGCACCTTTAATACTCTGTTGGTTATCATACAGGATTGCCACTGCAACAAAAGACAGGGTCGTATTTAATTTCTCGTCTTCCGCTGCATTTCTCTTTTTTCCTTTTCACATTAAAACGTACTTCATAACATTTCATCATGGGAGAAGGCTGCATAAATTTCCAGTTGCTGTAATTTAGTTAAACCATAAAATTGTTTCCAGATTACCGACCATGAAATGGAAAGACAATCTTATTTATGAATTTATAAATCAGATAATCTCCCTCAAATGAATCCTGAAACCAGAAACACTTTGATGATTAAATAGGAGGGGAAAAGATTTCTCATTACCATGTGTCAAAAGAATTGTATTTTTATCAAGTGGTTTTGGCCGAGGCAGTGGAACATACGTGTATGATCACGTGCTCCGGTCACGTGCCGGCCATGCTGTTCCCTGGACAATGGGGGAGAGTTGGCCCCCTCGGCCATCAGGCTCAAGTGTTCTGAACTCTCAAGGCTCTGACAAATCATGTCTCCTTCCTGGTGGCCCCACCAGTGACATAGCCCAAAGGAGGTCACACAGGGAGTGTTCACAACCGTCCTCAGAGAGAGAAAGGGAGAACCAAGTGTGTGTGTGTAGGACCGAGTATAGGGCTTCGCTCCAGAGCATTCGAACTCTTATCCCAGGCAGTTCTGTGATTATGTCAACATCATGTCTGATGAGGAAGGAAGAGTGGAGGGAGATTTGGGTGTCGTGTTTGTCTGCATCCTAAAACCACTGTCCGGGGAAGCCCAGTGAGAAGCCAAGTACCCATTGAGCTGAGGACAAAGCCAAAGGCATGTATGAAGCCCTTGGACGCCCATATGGAGAGGACCCATGGTGATGAGTCAGTTTCGAGAGCAGTGTTCTGACCCTGGAATGATTCAGGTGGTTTGCTTGGTTTTTAATGCTGCTGCCCTCCTTTGTTAAACTGGGTCATGAAAGCTGTTGACCAGAGTGATCAGAAAGACCACTGACTGAGCCCTAATCAAGGTTGCACCTCGAGCCAATGTTGGAATCCCTTCTGCCGTTTCCTCCTGTCGGATTCTCATTGGTTCTCTATAGTTGTAGATTTACCTAGTTCTCAACATTGCTGTCATCTGTGTCTGGTTAGGTTGTCACCGTGCCTTCCTATCCCACACTCCAGCTTCACAGACTCCTTTAAGCCATTTCCTAACCAAAGCTGCCTAGACTCTAAAAATGTCATGCCACTTAAAGAAGGAAGGGATGAAGGGAGGGAGGGAGGGATCCTTTGCATTTGCCTAGGATTGAGTAAGAGCAGTGAACTAGTACCGTCTCAAGGGCCTCCAAATGCCCCTCCACTTAGGGTCATTAGCTTGACTCCTGCATTACTGTGGGAAGAACGGGGGCACTGGACAACTTCCTTCTGGTGCTCAGCAGATCTGCAGGGGTGTCATTCGTTTCCCAAGAGCCCATTTGTCTAAGTCTGTGTCTCCCACGTGGCAGGCAGCATGATCGACCACCACCATCTTTTCTTTTGCCCCTTGGGTCTGATAAACTTGGGATTTCCATTGGAAGTTTCCTAACCTGATTTCTTGATTAGAATTTCTTACTAAGTTCTCTGTTTGGCACATGCACTGTCTTACGGCAGAGAGGAGGCCAAAAGCACAGGTAAGACTCAAGACACTGTGCAGCTCAGAAGTTTAGCCTTTACTACTCTGCCTAGAAACAACTGGAAAGTCACTCCATGGAATTTCCACTCTATTTGCAATTTCTTCTCCCCCGACCAGCAGAACAGAGAGATCATACTATTTATTTAGCACATCAGTTGAATATTTTTTCCTTACTGTGTTCACAACCTGTAACTATTCAGACTGCATGACTTACATCCAAGAAACTCAGGATTGTGTCAGACCATCCATTTTAAACTAACGAAAATGAATGGAATTGTGAAGTCAGAAACTCATAATTGTGAAATTAAGCTCAGTGTTTCATATGGCACTGAGGGTTATACTCACAAGGCCAAAAGTTTGTGTACAGACAAAATTACCCTTGAGAAGTTTGAGACACAGATACGTCATCTCTCAAGTAAGTCCAACTTAACCAGTTATTTTTTTTTTCTAGTGAAAGAACAGACTGCCATGATTTTTTCCGTGGGGTACCAGATAAAGAGGTTGGCTTGTTTTTAAAAGCCACGATGTCTTGGGCACCTGGGTGGCTCAGTCGGTTGAGCGACTGCCTTCGGCTCAGGTCATGATCCTGGAGTCCCGGGATCGAGTCCCGCATCGGGCTCCCTGCTCGGTGGGGAGTCTGCTTCTCCC